CGGCCACAGCAGCGGCAGCGATCTTCGAGTGGGGGTACTACACAGTCGGGTGTATTCTCGTATTGACCAGGCTGGTCAAAGTCCTTTCGCACACTTGGAGAGAGTGGAATGCAGCACCTGCTGAGGTGGGCTCTTTCAAAAATTAACCATAACTTTTGGCCTCGGTCATCAAAAATATATGTGTCCCGAGGAAGAAGAGGGGACGAATACGCACGCAAAGCGTAATTGGCCAGGGCCACGAGACACAACGGTATGCTGGGTTGCCTATACTCGCTCTACCGCGCTCTACCCGTAAGTCCCCTAGGCTTTGCAAACCCGCAACACTGTTGTGTCGCAGCCCTGCCACGCGGTACACACATACATTTATCGATCCTGCAATAATTGCATCACGTTACGACGGGGTAGTGTTGTGCTGGGAGTAATAAACTTTTGTCGCGGTGTGAAGAGGCCCGGGACGAAGCGGGCGGCCATCTCCGGCGCGCTTCGGGCATCTCGTGCAGGATGCGGTGGATGCGAAAACGAAGTCTGCCACCACTACTCAAACCCGAGCGACTTGCCCGAAGCTGCTCACCCCTCCTAATACCACGAACCACAACACAACAGGCGATGGACCCCAAGCAGTTGTTGAATGAGTTTTGCGATGAGAGGGTGCCTGAGGTAGCAGTATTGTTAGTAACTGCTACAGGCCAGGCTCTTTCCCAGTTGTGTCGCAGTATAGGGATCTTGTTGCAGGACGTGGAAGAAGTATACTAGTTGCGATTGTTGAACCAGCTACATTGTTATTTTAACGGTCCTACTTTTACAGCTGTGATGTTATATCGGAATTGAGGGTTTTGGTATAGTTTTATGGAGGGGTGGGGTGATAGTTGGTAATAGTGTTCTAACGTTAATAATATGGCTGATGCCATGCGGTATGCGGTGTGGTATTGTTATACGAGAGGTGATTGTAACAATAGTTTCTGCTACTACCTTTGGCAGATATCCGTCTTTTCTGAATGTCAAGTTATCACTCACCAGAAGCCACCTGTACTTTGTTGAAAGCGTGCGCGTTTTGTCGCTTTAGTGAAGTTCGGTCACATGATGGTAGAGTTGTGGGCACAACAAACCTTTTAGGTAATTATTGTAACGTCGATGAATCAGTGCAGAGCACTGCCCTGGCCGGCCGCACCACTGCCGGGCGTGGCGCTGCGCGACGGGCCCCGGGCCGCCCCGGCAATAATAGGCAACAGCAGGGCGTAATGGCCGAGGGAATCTCCGCCATGACGCCTTATTGAACGCTGTCACTTTCT